CTCCTGTGGCTATAAACTTTAATGAAGCTGTTTATGATATTAGTTGTTTTCAATTCCAACTATTAAAATGATGTCTGGTCCCAGAAGAGAGAGTGACAGACTCTTTATACAAACAGAAACCTTTTAGATTCACACCTTGCAAACAATTAGCCCTGAGGGTCTGAATGAAGAATTATTAAATTGTCTTCTCTGAATTATAGTTTTTTTAATTATCTTGTTTCTTTTATATATTTTGTTGTTGTACATTACTAGAAATTTAGATATTCTTTCTGCAGCCTTACAGGGGATATGTTGACCTTGCTGTTGAATGATAAATCATGAAGTTTTTTTTATGTTCATCTGAATCCTGTGCCTATCTTTTAGTTCTGATTCCAGAGTTGTGCAGACTGACCGCCATCTTTGACATGAAACATGACCCGAAAAATAAAATTCTGGAACCAAGTAGCTGAAATAAACTTCTTCCATATCTTTTAGAGATGTAGTGAAGATCTCCATCATCAGGTGGTTGAAGCAGAGGCCCAGTTCCTCATCATACAGACAGAGGGATGAATGTGATCATTCCCTGAATGTTGAACAAAACTTGATCCATTCAAAACAATCACGTAAGTGGGTGAACTCATGAACATGTTGTCAGTCTATCCCAGTGGCAGCTCAGAAATGTATGACCCAAATAGCAGTGCAGCCACCCACTCACTCCAAAGGGACACATGAAATTCCCTTCTTTGTAGGAACTCCTGGAAAACACACAACTGCTTGGTAACAGCATGTGAGATTTGAAATATGGACCATCATACAATGACATCAGCATATTAATTGTCAAAATTTAACTGATTCTCAAGCAAAAAGTCAGTTACAGAAACAACTGGAAAACTGAGCAGCTTTCATTGAATCCCAGCCATTTCAAATGAGAGACCCTGAAACCCAATTTCATCATGGGAGTTCAGTTTGAATAGAGTAATCTTTCAACTCATTTTCACTTGTGCAAAAAACTTCATACTTTGCATTTGTAACTTCCATCCAAAGCTTGGGTCCTTGACTACATTCAGTCTTCGACTAGCAAAACCACTTGCTAAGCTACATTTATGCTCCCATTGTGAATAAGGTCATGTAAAGAATTTTGACCTCAATTGCAGATAATGGCTGTGGGCTCATAATATAGTTACACTGAGCAACTTTTGAAGGCTTTTAATTAGGAGCCCTGTGCCATGATACACTTAAAAGCACAGGCTATTACTAATGAGTGCGTGTTTTAAGTTATTCATCACAGGAGTGCTATACTAGTGCTTTCCCCCCTGAGAGCCAGAACAAAACATCTACTGGCTAATTTGTGGTGACCAGAGCCAAGAGCTTCCATTTAATTAAGTCAATCAACGCAGCAGCATTTTGAGCCATCAATGCTTTTCTGGGCCACTGATATACAAGAATTTAAAGTGTAAAAGGCTGAAGATTGGATGGAATGTCATTTTATTAGATCTCAAAGTTAAAATAACGTTTTATTCTAACCAGCCCCAAAGTGCCTGGAGTTTGTAAAGCAACAAAATGAATTTGACTCTTTTTTAGTCTTTTTTCTAACCCTGCTTTAGGTTAAACAGGAATTCATTCAGGTCTGGATTTATTTGAAACAAGGCTCCTCCTTAGGGATGTGACCCAGCATATTCTAACATCATGGACACCAAAAATTTTATTGGTAAGAAAAACCCATAACAAGTAAGAATCAGGGTAAAAAGAATTCTTTTTGACCATTCACCCATTCTTTAGACTGATGTTTACCTCCATTGGTCAATGGGTAGACCCTGACCACTCAGCAGTCTACCACAGGACAGCAGTGGCCAAGACAACCTCATACAGAAAAGTCACTTGACGTAGCCAATTAACCAAATTTGCAGGCACTCAAGAGATAAAATACAGTACTACAAAGAAAGGAACTAGTTTGAATTCAAAATGTGGATAAGATATTGCATTTTGTAGCAATCCTTAATAGTTGCCAGGGGATATTTAAAAATTACTCAAACATGCGTTAAAACAATTGAAGCAACACTCCAGGTATGTTTTAATCAGAGGACATTATAACATTATATAAAGCTCAGAATCATCAATTTTACATAACACTCTCCCCAACCTCTTTAAAGGAACAACCTGTAGTAGTTTTTATGTGCTGTAATAAAGAAAAATAAGTTGAAGCAACTAGAAGCAAAAAAGGAACTGAAAGTATTTCTTAAATTTGCATAAAATAAATTCTTTAAATCAAGTTGTTGGTTATGCAATGTTAACAACTGAGCAGTTAACGTCACTCTCAGTTTCAATGGGGGGCCAGGGTAATATATATTCACACAATAAAAATACCTAAAATAACTCAGGGAACCTCTCCAGGGAGATAATTTTGATGAAAATTATCTCCCTGGAGACAACTTGTAGTGCCCAGTTTGTGAAGAGATGCTCCAGCAGGAATGTGAGGATTACTTCACTGCAACCATGTTGACAACTTTTTTTTTTGTTTCTTTTTCTGCTGTCTTTACATAATTTACATTTCTCGTAACACCAACAGATCTACAAAAAGTGTGTTACAGTTTCTAGTAAGTCCTACACATTGCACTGTTATCAACATGAGCATAATGAACAAGTATGACAAGCTAAGAAATAGCCACCACCAAAAGCCCTTCTTGCCACTCTTGATGTTGTTTTATAAATGACTAATGAGAAGAATGACTTCACTTTCTTTGCCTTGTTCTTTAAAATGGTGAGACAGATTCCTGTGAGTGTGTGGCTTTGACGTGCTCTGCTCTCCTAGCACCACTTCAGTACTCGGATTGCTAATGGAGCCTGGCGAACAGGAAGTAGGAAGAAAAGCATAACAAGCCACTGGAGACATCACGCTGTCCTCCAGAGAGCCATTAAGCAAAGTTTCCACTTGTTTTATTCATACGGCAAAAAAAAATAAAAAAAAGCGATAGCAGTGACTTCTTGCTAATTGCATACAGAACACTGTAAAGGTAGCGTTGGAGATACACCTCAGCAGCACGCTTTTCCCTCTTCATTCCTAATGGTTGGAAAAGGAAAAGCCTTTCCTGTGATGCATGCAAGGAGGATGTAGCCACCTCCTTAACAACCAGGCTGCCCCTGCACTCTAAAGTTAGCATGCTGATGTAAGAGAAGCAACTCAGGATGTACTGTACAGCAATATGTACAGCGTTTACCAGACAAGAAGATGGCTGCTGTTTTGAAAAGTGAAAGGTTAGAACCTTATAAGGTTTTCAGTCCCTGGCCAGGATCACTTGAGCGTTTAAGTTACATAAATACACTTGCTGGGGTGTAATTTGCACCAATGGAAAGCTCCAAGTAAGCCTCAAGAGAAGATTAGGTCAAAACAGTAAAAGCAGGCCATGTAATATACATCTTATTTAACCACTGCAAGTGTCAGGCATGCTAAGAAAACTTTATTATTTAAGAGCCTTTTGCCTCAGTGCCAGGCGTTTGGTGAGCGAAAACAGACGATGAAAGCATGGCTGCGGAATAGAGGGGACAAACGCTTTCTTCACGTTCACTGGCAAGATGTGATTTCCAAACTAAGGATCTGTGTCAGCCATCTGGTGATGGAAAGGAGCAGAGAACAATGTCAGCAGGCTACTTTCAATAATGCAGACATGCATGCTGTCATTACAAAGCTGACAACTGAAGAGGAAATTTTCCAAAACGAAAGTTTCCTTGTATTAATATGAAAATATTTGTTCTCCAATACTATGACCAAGAATTCCCATTGTCTCATTTATGCTCCTTTTAACTAAAAGTGTTATTATAGGCTTCTAAATGTCTTACATCAAAACCAACACAGAGGCCCAATCCCAGATGAGAGAGCTACACTCAACCACCACTTCATTAGATCCACCTGCTCAATTGGTTGTCAGCACAATAGTGAATCCATATTTAGGCATCTATTCGTGGTGACGAATTCAAACAGTGCATCACAATCGAGGAAGAAAGGCGATGTAAGTGACTCTCAGTGTGACATGGTTGTTGGCACATGACAGGCTAATGTGAGGATTCTCTAAGTTGCTGATCTGCTGGGATTTTATGGAGAATGATTTGAAAAACACAAAACATCCAGTTACCAGCAGTCATGTGGATAAAAATGTAATGTTGGTATGTCACCAATGTGTTGACCAATTGAGGGTGCAAGCTAAAGTAAATCAAAATGAACAGTTCAAGAAATAATAAGAGTGAACTCACACCAGAGTTGCCCATACCTTGCTCTAAGCCCTTTAGTTAAATTATATATTTTTTTAATTCACCAAAAAATAAACTCTGCAGTTGTGTTCCTTTTCACTTGTTATTGCTTATCACTCACAATTATCTTTTAAAATCTTGTAGAATTACTCAATAAATATAAAATGTTATAATGCAATTAAAATTTTGATGATATTATAGAATGAACTATGTCATTAACTCAAAATTGTTTCGTTGGCAGAAGATATGGTTTCTGAAATGTGACAAAAATTTATGGCCAGCAAAACAATTAAAGTGCCAGACACTCTACATTCCCCCGCAGATTCATTTCTCCATGTCTACCAAGCCATTCCTCTTTATTCCTAACTATTAAGAAATGCAAACGCTTGAACAATCACCACACACAGAGATAAATCTGGAATTACTTACGTCGCCACAACAGCACTGCCAGAGCTGCTCATAATGTTAATTTTCTCTCTGGCTTTTTGCTCCTGAGTTTAACAATCAACTGGAACATGTAAGTGAAGGACAGGCGTAGGTTTAATAGAAGAACAGAAATGATCAAATTTAGGCATTAAATGCTTTCCATCTTGTCTTTTAAGTCTCCTCAGAATCCATTTAGCATATAAATATTTCCACTTATCAGTATGTGAAAAACAATCCTTTTGAACTCAGCGCAATATTTGACATGAGGTATTAAAGTTCTCAGACATTCTGCAGGACTTTTAAATATTTATTTTTACGCAGTACAACATCTGTCAAAACATCCCTGATGAGTCAACACTGATAGGAGCATATTTATGTAACAAAAATGTTCTATGAATGATGAATCACTTTACCCCGCATGGATAATTCAAAACTGAGCAGAGACGAACAGAGCTGGCATAATAATTATTTATTGAAGAACATCAAGTTCAATATCATTTTATCCTTGTGCTTTGAAAAAATATATAACACTACCAGTGAATAATACAAAATGAGTGTTTAAACAGTGGTAATTCTTCTGACATTGCTAAATGCGTTGTCTTCACTGTTTCGGCCCTCATTGTGCAAAGAGGAGCTGCTGGAGCGTACAACATCAGGGACCTGGTGAAACACATCAAGTTTTGAGTTACATCGACCAAACACCTACAAACTTCTATTCTTTAGAGAACATACATATCAGACAAGTAAATAAAAACTAGGATTTAAGATCTGGAGGTTCTCTGGAAACAAACTGAGCTCCACATTGTCGGGACCCAGAATGTAATTAAAGTATCACAGCTTCAGCACGGTTCTAGGATCATGAGAGCTCACGCAGAGCTGCTCCATGGAAGAGGTAGCTGGGAGAAGAAGCCTCATCTCATCTGTAGTTTGAATATATTTCATTTGCACCATATTCTTGTGAACAATGCTGCATGAATCCATTCAAATGAACGCCCCACTCATGAGTCACAGTTCAGCTGTGGAAGGACCAAGTTGGTAATTCAGGTTCTTGCATCTCCTATCAATTCATAATTGATAACTTTTCTTTATTCCTCAGGATATTAAGTGAAAACCACATCAAGAGGTCTGTGCTGTCCAATCTGTTGTAGTTTAAGGCTGAAGCTGTAACGAATCATCTAAATAAAATCCTGAGGAGAGTTGGTTCTCTTATGATCAATATTGATGACCTGAATTTGCTTTGACTTTGTTTTAAAGTAATTAAAAAATTTTGTGAGTTTTATTCACCAAGACAACTCCAGCTTTTAATTCATGCCCATTTCTCATTATTAATGTGAGTTTTTAAAGCAATAAAAATCTCACTATCTGCTCTGATTAGATGTTAATAAGATGGTTAAAAATGGCTGCGTATAAACTGAACCTTTGTCTTGTCAATTGCTTCCAGAAATCATTAAACTGATGATTTCCACAGTTTTTTTTTTGTTTTTTGTCAATTTGAAATTAATGTTATTGACTTTATATCACTTATACAACAGCGGTGTGAGGAGAGACACATTTCCTCATGTGTTGGAAGGTTGACACAGCTACAGAATAGCTAACTGACTCCATTTCTCATATTTAGTTGGTCACTTCCCCGTTCTCTGTTTGTTTCAGTATTTGTGTAGCTGTCTGGCTCATTTCAAACCACCTTTACCTCCTGTCTCTTACCTTGCGGAAGGTGTCAAAACTCATCTGGCTACGAGTTCCGATGATAATCTCACTGCTGTCCACATCTGCAGATTGAAAAACAGGTTTGTTTTCCTAGACTTTCTGCAGTGCCCCTCACTCTAGATTCAAGGTAGAAAACCTTTGTTCAGAGATATCAAGCAGAGATATCAAGGGCACCACAAGCTTGTAAAATATAATTTGTCTGTTGCTAAACAAGTTTTATTTTTGCTTGTTTGCATAGGCAAATAAGCAAAGACAGTGCTGAATTACAATTCCTTCTCAAAAACGACTTTTTTTTGTCTCCAACACATGAAGAGATTAATTCTGAGGAGAATTTGTTGTATGTGTAAAGTCATTAGTAGTTTTTTGCTAGAAACAAACATTAGGGACAAACATATGATGTGAGAGGAAAGAAATATTTAAAAAGAAACAGAAACCTTTTTCTTCGTTTGGCCCAAGCTTGTTTGAGAAGCTGCAGTGGAAAACTGCCATGAGAGGGATGAAAATGTTAAGTTATTTCTGGAAATCTAGGACACTGCATTGTCAGGACTCAACAGGGGAAGTAAGGTCTCAAAAGTAGCCAGAATGAGTGATGCTACAGTGGTTCATCAGTTTACATGACACGCTGCAGAACTGTGGAGGTGCATGACTATCCCAGCGTACATCTTTGAGCAAAGACCTTGCTTTTCTTGTTTAGCAAGAGTGTGAAAACATGACTTTCTGAAATAATGATGGTTTAGCTTTATTGTAAAATCAATGATTTTTTTTTATATCATATTCTGCTTCTTTGAGATGAACCTCAACTGTTTTCAGACTGCCTATTTTCAGACTGCCTATTGGCTAATTTCAAATTAACATCCCACGCATAGCCGTCCTCAACTACGGCTGTGCATTTTATTTAAGTGAAAAATGCTGAAAAATTAAATGCTTAATGCATTAGCTTTGACAATAATAGTCTTAATGAAGTTGTTATAAACGATAAAGACTATCTATCTAAAGCATGTCATTTCAAATTCATGTCTTTAATTTTCTTTCATAATGAGGATCAATAAGACCCTTTTCATTCTCAAACACTGGCTTAGACAATGATTCATGCTGAGTCTTCACATTAACTTAACTATAAATAAACTGCAAGAGAAGATGTTGTATGTCTTTGAAAGCTCAACAAACTCTGTTAAAGCAAAGTAGCTTGTCCCCTGCATTAAAAATGTAACAAACTGAAAATTAGTTGTACTTGTTTAAGTTATCTTTTATGTAAACAAATAAGGTAATACAGAATAATCTGAAAGGACAGAGGGCAAAGATATTCCAAAAGTGATCAATAAAATGCACACTTAGTGCTGCTCAATACAACCAGAGGTGTATCGAGCATCCTTGAGGGGATAATCTAAAAAATATATATATATTCAACATGAATAATTTACGTACCAAAATTGTTGGTCTGTTTTGCACTTTCTCACCTGTTGTGCTCTCGCTGGAAAACCCCTGATTGACATTCCCTCCTGTCGCCTCAGCAACTGAACTTCCCCAAAACCGCGATTGGTCGGACCTGAAAAAAACCCATAGAGGATGGTCCAATGAAAGAGATAACCTCTAGCTGAGAAACAGCAGAGTCACATTGTCAGAAGCCAAGCGGCTGTGAACAGACAATTTCTACTCCCACAGAGAAGTAGTATATCAGAGAGCTCCTGTATTGTTCTCAGCATAAAGTGCATTGACAGATAAAAAATGAGCACCATCATCATTTTTTTTACTCAGCTTTATTAGAGCCAGCTAAAGTTCCTCAACTACGGCTGTGAATTTCATTTAAGTGAAAAATGCTGACAAATAAAATGCTTAATGCATTAGCGTTGACAATAATAGTCTTAATGAAGTTGTTATAAATTATAAAGACTATCTAAAGAATGTCATTTCAAATTCATGTCTTTAATTTTCTTTCATAATGAGGATCAATAAGAGCCTTTTCATTCTTAGACAATGATTCATGCTGAGTCTTCACATTAGCTTAAATATAAATAAACTGAAAGAGAAGATGTTGTATGTCTTTGATTAATGAAAGCTCCACATCTTTGTAGGAAAGTCATTTTCTTCAAATCATTGTTAAAATGTGTTGTATGTAGTGAAGCAAAAGAAATAACTTTGAAGACTTACCTTAGTACATCCTGGGGGGATTTTTCTGAAAAGTAAAAATGTACACATATGACCAAATTTAGTTTTATGAGTTATTAGGTGCCAACTTTAGTGTTATAACAACATTATGCATAGAACCACTCAACTTGCTCATTTCATTAAAGTACAACAATAAGAAAGCTGTAAATGACCTGCCGTTTATTTGCTTTGGGCCCTGCACTGATATTATTGCTTCCAGTTGGTTTGTAATGCAACAGTAAAAGCTGCTGCTGTGCATTTATGAGTTCTGTAACAGGACTTTGCGGGTTGTATTTGCCAGCGGTGCCCACGGTCATAGCAAAAGGGCTGTAATATTATCCAGCTGCGGATGAATCTTGCCTCGAGAGAGATCTAAGCTCTCTCCTTTTATTGAAGGAGAAACCTATTTAAATCAAACCTGTCATTAGCTAAATTGTTGTTCTATATTCATTCTCCTTTCTCAGTAATTTGAAAGGACACATTACACCTCACTAAGAGGGATTACACAAAGTAGTGTTTTGTATTCTGGAAGCAAGCTGGATCCTTTGACATGTGAAACGTCCAAAGAATTTCATTTAAATTACTAAGGGGGTATTCCTTCAAAGTTTCAAGACTGGACCAAGAACAGCAGTAATGGAGGTATGAGATGGTTTCGGTACTGAAAGGTCACACTTGGTTTAGGCTAATCCCTCAGGCCCAAACCACAGCCACGTTTAGCAGTGGTCCAGAATTTGTGCAGAGGATTACAACGACTTCAATTGTCTGAATTTCTTTTTCTTATCTCACAGAAACCCAGCCTGTATCATCTTTAAGCCTTAATTATGCTAAATAGAAATATTCTTAATGATATGATATTAAAACTGATTGTTGCATTATGAGAGTGCAGGATGTATTACCATTCATGTGAAAACAAAAAAAAGCCACAAAACTGCCCTTGAGTCACAACCACAGTCATAAAGAACTAATCAAAGACTTATCTAATCTATTCAAGAATGGCAGCACACTTTAGGCATGGCCTCTCCAAGCAGAGCATTTTTATTTTAGTCACTGTTTTTCTATACTTTTTTTGTGAGTTTTCAACAATGATCATCTTCAGTAATGTAAGGAAGATAAATTGCTTGTTATGGAGAAGAAGTTATTGTGGGAAAGACAAGAGAGCATCCTTACCAAGCAGACCAAGAGAGGATGCACAGAGAAGTGCTGTGTTTGGAGACAGAGGTTGTTTTCCACTCTTCTTTGTTTCTTGGAGAACATTACGAGTGATTTCAATTACAAAAATATAGGCACAGCATACATACAGTCAGAAATGAGAGACTGTAGTGTGTTTTTGACAGACTCCACAGCAATGTTTCTGAATTCAGCTGGACAAACTCGCTGGTTGACAGTTAACATCCCACCAGCCAGATGAAAAATAATTGGGTTTCCCTGTGGGATTTATATCCTGATGGTAGGCTGAACATCCAAGTTAAAATTTGTCGAGGAAGTATTGAAGATTACCACCCACTGACAAACACAATGGATTTTTGCCACAGAGACTGAACACACATAGGAGGACAGACATTGCTGACCTAGGAGTCAAGCTCATTGGTCAGGAATCACACCCCACCATCTATACCCTCTCAGTGGTAGTTTTTACATAAATGGTGCCATGGGAAAGTCCCTCTGCACAGTTTGTGCACTGCAAAGGGTGGCATTTTCTACCCATTCATCGCCTACGCAAATAAGAAAAGGAAAACTTGTTTGGCAACTGACAAATTATGTTTTTTATGAGCTTGTGATGCCCTTAGCACCTACCGCCCCAGACAGCAATATCTCACATATCAAAAACAAGCACCGAGTGCCCCACTGTTAGACTATTGGGGGCAATATTATGTGTTTTCCACATATTGCAGATGCAGCTCCATCTCAAATGTTTTTTGATCTCTTACATTTAAAGGAAGATTGCTCTTTATCAATGTCTTCTGAACAAAGACATTTCTTTCTTGTATTAAATATCTTTTTCTACAAAAGTGAAATTACTTCCATTGTTGCCTTTATTTAAACATTACATTATTCATGGTTATGTTTTCTTTTAAACAGACTGTAATAAATTTAGTTAAAATGTGCTAAGAACAAATTCACAGACCAATTAATTATTCCGTAAGAAATTATTCCATATGCAGATATGTTATGGTAAGAGACAAAAAGGTAGAAATTCAAATACCAGGATCTCCTGGCTGTAAGGCAACAACAGCTCTTGATTATAGCTTTGAAATTTGTTCTGGTGTTTAATGCTTATGTGGCTACTGGTGTGTGTTAGGCCTCAACAATAAATCAATAACATATATCGCAACAGGCAGGTGATTAATACCAATAAATAATACGTCTGATAGAATATTCAATCATTTCACAGGACTCCGATCCAGAACTGCTCAGCATGCTGGGGGATGTGGGCATAGGAAAACTTTCAGCCGCTCAATGACAGGTAAGCAAAGTTGGTGGCATCAACTCACTCAGTCTCTGGTTACCTAGCAACAACTTGTGGTGTTATTTGCGCAGCAGCAGATTCATGTTTCACCAATGAGCCTCATAGCTGTTTAATGATAAGCAACGGCATGGAGTAAAAACTGTGGAAAGCTTAGAAAGGAGTGCTTCAGATACTTAAAAAGAATACCTATTCAATAAATATAAATATTGGTTGATATGAAACATTTTCAGCCATATCATCCAACCCTACCATTAATTATTCAGTAATTGTTCATTTTTCTGTTTAACCTAAGCTAACCTGTGATGTTATCTAAAGATCACAAGTTTATATTCAAAGATAAATATGTTCTATTTACAAGTCATTCCTTCGTGTACTATTGTCAAAGTAATTAAAATACAACTACAATAAGACAAATATAGTGTATTTAATTGATTCTGGTAGACATTGTTTTGGCTTTAGGTAAAGGAGCTGAACCATAGTTTCATCATCATTATCAGCAGCAAAACTAAATAACCCGTTTTCTATGATGTTTAATGACCAGAATAATCTGTGTGCTCTCTATCCACAGCAGCTATGTGTTACAGTAGATTGTGTCCGTTCAAATATAATGAGTCATCCAGCAGAAACCAGGAGCGACCTCATGTTCCCAAAGGCACACTGCATTTTTGTCCAACTTGTCAACAGCAGCAATCCTATTTGCCTGCAGACTGATAACCTGTCCAAGGTTGCTACCGTCCCACACAGAGTGAAATCAGGACAATGAGTCTTTGTTTTGCTGCAACATGCAAAAGTTTAGGAACTTCCAGAATCCTAAAACCAGTTTCAGTGATGCTGTCATTGGTTGTTTTGTTTTTATTTTTGCTGTTGTTGTTGTGTTGGCTGTTTATTTTTTAAGTAATTCAGAAAACTGGGAAAAACACTGGCAAATTAAATTTAAGGAAATACAAATGACAGCTCCCATCCTCCCTCCAAAAATTACAATTGTTCCTCTAAATTGCTAGTGTAATTATGACATCTACCTCAATTATTCAAAAAGAGTATGTTATAACTAACAATTACAAATTGTATTCTTTCTCCCTACCAGCTTTCTGTCTTATTTATTGTTCAACACCTCCAAAACCCCCTTTAACCTTTTTATTTGCACCTTATTGGTGTGTACACTGTTCCGCTTACAGCGGATGTTCTGCTTTTGTTAGAAAGAATTCAGAATGTCCTTGTTGAAGGCTACTACAGGGCTGTCCCAGCATGCAGCCAGCCACCTCTGTGCTTTATTATACTTTAATCACAGTTTCTGAGCTGGAAAATTGTGGTCCGAGCAGGGCGCTTGTTCACTTACAGCAATTTCAGGAAGGACAAAAGTGCCTACTTGCTTTTCTGCGATGCCTGTAGCAGAGGACAGTGCAGATGGAGAGCAGCACAAGCAGCAGAAGAGCAGCCAGAGATGCAGTTACTGCCACCAGGATTGTGCAGTCATCCTCTTCCTCCAACACCTCTGCAACTGAAGAGAGAAGGTCACATTTTTGTTTCATTACAGTGGAAAAGCTCTGCAATTCAGTAACAGATACTCAGGCACACAGCAGAGAGCTCAGAGAAAGATTTGGATTTTAGACATGAGGGCGTTTGTGGAGAAAAACGATGAAAATAGATTTTAAAAAGACTTTTCAAAGCTGTGGCCCTTTCAGCTGTTTTCAACCTGTACACTGCTGTGATTCAAGCTCTTGCTGTTTCAGTTTCGTAACCCTTTCTTTTCTCTACTCTTCTTTTGTAACAGCTGCACTCTGTGATGATTCACTTGCTTCCTAAAACAGAATGGGAATGAAAAATGTAATAGATGAAAACAAAAAAAAACAAGGACAGACAGATAATCTCTGGAAAAAATAGAAATTCAAGATATGAATTTAACACATGTATTGAATTCATATGTCATTAGCTAATCATACCTACCTCAACTGATGAGTATCATGGAGTTATGAATAAAGTACTAAGAACTGTTCAATGACCAAACTTGAATGTTTTTAGGATCAACCGTTTTTCCTCGAAGAAATTATTTTTTTAGTTTTGTTTCTTGTTTTTAATTTGTGGGATTGTGTTGAAAATTATTATTATTTGGTGTAAAAATAATTTGTTGAGCACTTAGAATCACCTTGATAGAAATAAGGCTTAACTATTTATGTTTTCTCCTTTAAAAAAATACATTGACAATGGAGGGCTCGAATTAAAAGCTAACTTAGCAATTTAAATAATGTAAATATAAAACCTTTAATGAAGTTTGAGTGAGAGGCATAAAGTATTTTAAAACCATTACATTATAACTTGAGGAACTTTGTATTGATGATTTTATTCTATTTAAATACTTTGGTCCTCAGATCTGATCCCAAAACACAACAATTGGTCAAATTTTAGAATAAATCTATATTTGCATGAGAAGAGCACGTCTGCTTGAACTAGTTTAAACAGAGAAATAACTGGTGGTTAGAGAGGCTGATAAAGTTTCAGCTTTGACTGTAGGGATCTTTTTAGTGGCCAGAATGGTTTATTAGGAACGTTCTTTACATTCCTCCACTTCGACTTTATCTACTACAGTAAAAACAGATTGGCAGGGTACAAATCAAACCCTCATAGAGGACTTGTACTTTTTTATTTGTGCTGAAGTATTGTGTGTATTTTTATGAATAGAGCATGTTAAGCATTTTTGGTGTGTGTTTTAGTCATCTCTGTTTGAGCTTGCGCACAGCTCAAAGTTTATGAGGATTTGAACTATGATCATTTTTAAATTATGGGTTTGTGCTTCTGGCCACCTGTGGAGGCCAAAAGAATGAATTAGATTGTCAAAGTAAGATTATAGGGTTTTAATTTGTTTGTGATAGTTCTTTTTTATATAAATAGGTTTATATTTGGGATCACTGGATCATTAACTTTGAAAATATCAGACATTAATGTTTAGACCTGCAGGACTGGGTTTTATAATGAGATTAAATATACCTTCCCATTTAGTGTGTCGTGACTTGCCAAAGACAAAGAAATTAAGAAACATAATTTCTTTCTTTCTTAAAATCAATTATATTTATTCTTTCAAAGGCAAGGAATTCAATTTAAAATTAATTCAAGTTGCACTTTCACTTAGTTTTCAGACCATAAACACTTTGAAACAATGTGAGTATAAAAATAAGTTGTTCGCATCTAACATTTTTGTTTTTATTTGCACCTCTGCTGATGCCAATAGCAGATGTCAGTGCAGTGATTCGAGGCTAAGGAAGACTTAGCGGTTTTACACTCCACAGTGGAGATACACACAAGTGATAAACAGATCAAACTCCAGAAATTTAATCCTCCTCCACACAACACCACTTAAAAAAACAATTTGATCTAAACCTTTGCCATGGAGACAACAAATCTCTTAAGATGCAGAAAAAATGTTTTTTAAAAGCTTCTTCTCACCCACTGTGAGTGTGACGCTGCTCTCCAGAGGTTTTTTGAGGGCAGACACTGAGGCCAGACAGCCAACCACAGAGCTCCTCCCGGCCCGGATGCTAAGGTTGCTGGAGACAGTGAAGAGGTTCTCCTTCTCCTCTGTGCTGATGTTGTATTCATCCCGACTCACCTGAACCCGTCAACCAGAAAGAAAGATATTTATCAAATCGACTGCAACTCATCAAAACCTTTTTAATACCTAAACAAATGACAGATCTGTGAAGCTTTTAAGCACACATCTGTTTGACATACAGCCAATGAAATACATTGTTTTCTAATTTTTTTTTTTTTTTTACAGAAAAGCCCCACACGATGTCAAAAGTCCCCACTTTGAAGAACCATTTTTTTACTGCAAATTACAGCTGTGAATGTTTTGGAGTGTGTTCCTCGAATATGTTTGAAGACTAAATGTTTATCCATGCCAGGTCAGATTTGTGTAGTGCAGGACCAGTGGTCGTCCTCCCAACAGATTTTCCCACCTGAGCTGCTGATTGCTGCAGCTTCTCCAGAGTTAATATTGAGAATACTGTTAATGCTGCTTCTCTAATTAATGTTCTGCGGGTTCAATATGTCAGATTTAGATGGACAGATGATTTGCGGGTGTGTTGTGCACTTTCCATTTTTAGACCAATTCAGCAGAGCTCTGTGAAAGTCTCTGAGCTTGTAATATGGATTTGTAAGTGAACCTTGCTTTTACCTTTGCAACATTCATATCCAGGTTCTTTCTGCTTCATTCGTCCTCATCAAGCTGTTTCTTCACTAATCCTTTCTAACAAACGTCTTATCTTCACAGAGCAGCAGAAAACTAAGATTGAGTTACAGTTTGACTCTTTACTAGTTAGGTGATTTTGACTCTTTACTAATTAGGTGACTTCTGAAGAAAATTGTCTGCATTAGATTTTATAGGAGAATAAAGGGTTTAAGCAAAAACACATCAGATATTCTTTTCTTTTTGAATCATGATTATCTGCTATCTTGGACTATGACATAAAATCTTAATGAAATATGATAACATTTTCAGTTCAAGAAATATTAGAATATTTTGCAAAACAGGCTTTAAGTGATTTTATAGTAGATTTCTGTTTGAGGACCCACAGTTTATGGGAAAACAATTATTTGTGTCTATTTGTAGCACAAGTAACACTGCCTAGTCACATGAAAGTATCTTACTTAAAAACATGCTGGCGTGTAAAATATGACAAAGCAAATCTGCTCCCTTCAGATGTTGGCTTTATTCTGAAATTGCAATAATCTGCCTTTACTTTGAAGGGACATGTATATCAGAATATTTTGACTCAGATAAATATTTTTGGAGTATTTACTGATGAAATATAAGCAATTAGATAATAGACAACGCTTTTCTGCTGTGTGATTTGTCAAATCAATTAAGGAGATTAAGATGAAGAGTTATCCTTCATGTTCAATACATTTTCACAGATAATCCTAGGCATATACCGTATGCGCTACATGCAATAATCAAATAAAACTAAATTAATTTCAGCATGTTTTTTGCAAAAAACAAAACCATATCCAGTTTGTTAAAAATGCAGAAACCTGCAGAAGTAAGGTAATAGCTTTGAGCAGGTTGTGGTCATTTTGTCATTAAAAGTTGACCTCCATTTTAATAATCAGTTCACAGAATAATTTAGGAAAATGGCTCAGGTGGGATAAATTGATCAGTAACCAAAAAATAATTATAGTGGAATAGATGCTCAATCAAATCAGCTTTTTAATCCCCTAAAAGCAGTTAACCGAGAAGCGTTTTTCCTAAAATAGTCACATTCTCTGTAAAAATGATGACAGCGCCATGGAAAAGTCTTCAGTCCCTTTAAATGTTTTCCCACATCTGTCATTTTATAAACACAAATTCAAATGATTTTTTTGTGTGAAAACAACACAAAGTAGCACAACTTCCATTGAAGTGGGTGGAAAATCCAACTTTTTGAATGAATAGGTTTCCTCAAAGGACTGGAACTGTAAATATTTGGGAATGTACTCATAATGTACAAAAAAAGCATATTCTGAATGGAAGTCAATGGTGGAGAAAAATGCCAAATGGGCTCAGACTGCTCTGTTTAGTTCAAAGTCCAATGTAAAGGCTCATGCTGGAAATAACATTCAGCATCAAGGTTTGCAGGAAAAACTGACCACACACCCAGAGGATTACCGCATCTTGACATCTCCTACAGCTCAAGATGAACAGATGGGATCAATTTTCACCTCTATGAAAATGATTCCACAGAGTGCTGGAAAGAAAACATTGGTGGCCACAGAATGTAAGTAATTCCTGGGCCATACCTGAATACCCGGTGAAAGTAGAATGCTGGCATTTTTGATGATTTATTTCTGGTTAACATTCGCAGGGAGAGTCCATGCCATTCTCTTTCTTCAGGTTCAGACACATAAATCAAGACTCATCTCATTCAGGCCATAGCCCAGTCTACTTACTGAAGGCTTAATGCAGTGATATATAATGCATTAAAAGAAAGTCTATTTTGCAGCGGCTTTTACTCTCTCTGAACTACTGCAGGGATGTAGCAAGTCTGGAGTACATTAAATGGACTGATCAAGATAGTTTAAGAGTTTATATTTAAAGGCAATAAAGAATAATACTTTACCTGCAGTATATAATTTTCATTGCATCTTCATTTAATGTAAATCAGATTAGTTGGTGCTAAAAGCTGAAATTAACAGCTCATCTAGTCTAAGACCAAAGCAGAAATTTTTTATCTTAAGACATTTTAAGTCTGAAAAATATCTCAGCAGTTTATGGTGACAATATTTGAATAACCTTTAGGCCAATTTTATCTTTGCTTTGGGCATTATTTACAAAAAAGGTGATGATTATTTATACAGAAAGCTCAGGTGTTCCACCAACTATCTTCAAGTGTGAAACATGTAATGACCACAGCATGTGCCGGGCTAAAGTTTGCCTTCTCCTCTGTTTTGATATGACTCCCTGATAGTTTCTCCAGTTTACAAAAATCAAAGCACTTTGCTTTGAAACATTATGCTGCACTGCAATATAGTCCACTTGTCTGTTGGACTTAACTTGCCCTAAAAGTAAGCTGTAGCGTGGGTTTGAATTTACTTTTTCTTTGGTTGTGATTTAGATCAAAGAATCTGAGAATTATTGGTTCAAACTTAAGGGTCCATATAATAGTGAGTGCTTTAGCCAGAAGTCATTTTTGAGAATTGAGTTGTTTTAAAACAGTAGCAGTGTGCTTAGGTCTCTGACAAATTGTTAGTTTCAGACTCATCTCCAATAATCTGAATTTAAACCAAATAAATGCAAAAATGATCCATTGTATTTTTGGTAAATGGCCTGATCTTGTACATCATTTTATCTAGTTCAAAGGATCCCGAAGCACTTTAAACTCCATTCAGCCTTTCAGTTTTTTTAAGTTAACGCATTATTTTATGCTTATTTACAGTACACTAAATGCAGCAAAAACATTGATGAATTTTCATAGCAAACTAATAAAACAATATACAATACGTATTGGGTATTTACCTTTTTGTCATGTACCTGCCATTGCACAGTGGGTTCAGGGTACCATCCTGCTGCTTGGCACTGAAACAGAACCAGTTCTCCTTTAAATGCCAACCGGTTCTCTCCAAAGACCTTCACATTGCCCTTTTCTGCAGGAGGAAAAAAATAAAATAATAAGTGTACTCACATGCTTGAATCATGCTCTTTGTACTTTATAAATATATTCCATATTTTTTGTTAAAACATTCTTGAGTTAAGCTGAGAATCACTGCTTTGTTTGGCCTGATCCCTTACAAAAGATGGATTCCTGAGTGGCTGTTCTGGTCTCTGATTCTCACTTGGCTGATGAATGCCTCTCCCTCTATTCCCCTTCATCTCCTTCTCTGCCAGCCAGATGAGCTACTGAGCTGAGAGACACAGTATCACCATGAAGTCAGATCCCTGGCAAAATGAAGGGCTGTTGATGCAATAGTTAATACCTATTGACAAATAGATAATTGGAGATGCTTTGGTAGTTTATCTATGCTTAATGTCGAGCCTGTATTGATTAGGTTTAATCCTCAGACATTTTGTACAAATCATTGCTGTGCTTTTTTTTTATGCCACATGCTTTCATTTGATGGGTTGATTTTTTTGTCATGGATATTGTATCTCATGTGTGGAGTGACTGATTCAGATCGGGCAACTGTAGTTGCTGTGGAACAAGCAGTCTAATTGGCACCACAGGATGGAAGGATCTGGATGATTTCTAATGACCTGATGTGCCCAAAAAGAAAGAAGTGGTGAGTGAATCTAATGCATCTAATACTCTCAGAATTCAAAAATGAGTACATATACAGTACAATGCTTGAGGTACCCTGATATTTATCACTTTTTCTCCAGGAATACCCTGTATTTATCTTCATCTATCTTCCATTATCTCTGACCATCTTCCTTGTATTTCTGTTAAAGGAAAGCATACTCACAGCATGATGCTGCCACCACAACGGTGTATTCAGCATGACACGGCATTAAATTAAAAAGTGCTCCTAAGAACAATTGTAAATGACATGACAGAAAAGCATTGTTGTGATGGCAAAGTGTCTGAAAGAGCAAGATCTTCTTAAAGAGACGCCCAATTTCAAGGCGTCAAATTGTGAAGTCAATTTTCTCCCAAGTTGTCTTTGATATACAGCATTTTTATGACAACTGGAGGTAACATAATTATTTGATTGTGCTATAAAATGGCACTATGTGGCTCAAAAATGCATAATAACACCCCTTTAAATTAACTGTGCATATCACCTACTCTCCGCACACTTGCATGGGTAAGAGTCTATCCCAGCTTGTGTATCTACCATACCTCTACAAGTCACATTACCTTGGAGATGTTATATCTTCTCTGATTTATACCAGAGATCTGCTGCTTGTAGTCAACAGCATATGCGGTCATATTGGTCTGCTCAAGTGAGGAGTTTGTGTTGATGTACTGCATTTGTGATTGAGTGAGCAACCAGACACACAGCAGCCAGTGTGCAGTCACTTTTACATAATTTTCAAACAGAACAATTAAAGCAGAGAGTGGTGGAGGAGAGTACACAGTCAATTGGCCTCGCTGTAAATTTGTGGCTCAACGCGCTCTGTATATTTGAGTCCGCAGTAAACAAATCAAGAGCAAAGTTGCTGACTGTTAACTTGCAGTGCCAGCATGTGCGATTAATTCAAAGGCCATGTCAAACCATAGCGATCTTCTGTATCAAGACCCGGGAGGGGGCTGATTCACCATACACTACTGTTAATGGCTGCACGTGTCAGTGGGGATTTGTGGCACTGGCTCTCTTCGTAATATATTGGAAGCAGTGGGTCATTGGGTTTTTTCTTGACTCAGTGCAGTGGATGAGTCCATGCTTTTCCCCTCCCCCTGAGGACTCATTTTAAATGCAGTTACTGTAAATGAAAATATGGTTAATAATAAAAGGACAGCAGGTCCAAACAAACCCTGCACATTCAAGTATCCAGTCAACTTTTAACTTGATGTAGCCAGTGGTTTTTGTGGCCTTCACTTTATCCACCCTCTGGCTCTCCAGTAGCTCTTTTTTGTGTTTTCCCTCCATGTTGTCTGCAAGATGGAGACAACATTGTCTGCGGCTTTGAAAGGAATTTTTTCCCGTGTCCATTGTTAAGTTTTGTTCTTCAGGTTTTCCCTGCCTCCTCGTTGTGTTTTGGTCCTCCGTAAGAACTTGTCAGATAATATATAACAAAAATAATTTCTAACCAACTTATAATTTGATTGTGAAAAATATCACTGTAAGAAATAAACACTGGCATTTAACTGGTTTCTGGTCATTTTACCCTACACCATGTCCTACTTTTGTAGGATAACATTTTAAAGCACTTAAGATAAAACTTTTCTCTATTCTACTCATGGCAAAGTCATTATCAGAAAATATTTTAACTTTTGGTTGATTTGTGTCACAATATGTGATATTTTAGAAGTGCTAAATAACCCAATCAGAAATGTAACACAGTATGAAATTTTTATAAAATAGTCTACATTAAGCTAAACATGAGATTTGAGCATTTTGTTTTCACTATTTATCATCATAAAATAAAAAATACTAGCTACAAGGTTGGTCTATGAGATGGAAATAGTTTGTTAATGAATATAAAATGAATGGACGGGTTGAAGTGGAAATGCTTATGTACAAATTAGGGCCACAACATGAAGAACGCGTTACTTTTCCCACAGAGCTGTGTTCTGTGCTTCTTATGTCTTAACATTTTGCTGGTTTGTCACCTCTAGTTATGATCACTAAAGATTTAAAAATAAGATGAGAAAAAGTATAAAATTCCTGAACTGGTTGCTAAATGAAATAGTATATTCTGTCTTATGAAAAAGGAAAGCCTTATCCTGTACACTTCTACATCCTATCCAGGATGTAGAAGTGTTTTCAATAATTAGGAGCATGATAAATGAGAGATTCTCCCACAAGTCCAGATTAAACTGCAGCACTCCTCAGCTTCTGAATACAAGAGAACTAGCAGTGCTCATCAACTCTCAAATCTTAAATTATCTCACAACCTCTGGCTCAATGTTTGTATAAGATCCACAAAACGAGGAGGAGAGAGCAGATTGGCTGCAGGTGCAGGCTATAAATCCTGCTCTGCTGCCTCATTCGACTGGCATGGAGTCTATCCATTTCCAACTTGTATTTATAACGGCAGTCCAATCAATTCCCTGCCCCACCCACACTGCCATTAAACCGTTGTCACAGAAACCATCAAACATGTCCGGCAAACTTCCTTCCACCAGAGAGGCCCTAATAATTCCCTCCACACTCTATGATTGATCCTTTGCATGCATGTTCAGCTGCCTTCACAGAAAACGCAAAGCTTCCAAGCTTCATTAGTTCAAAGAAAGGGACTTAAGAAGTGCGAGTTGAATGCTGTACCACTCTTGTCTTTTATTGAAGCAGGGGGTGTGTGGGCGGGCAGAATTAAAGCTTCTGCACAACTTCTGCAGTGTCCCTTCTTTTACCTCTCTTTTTACCCATGCTGCTTTCTGCTTCATCAAGGTTAAATTCAGTGTGTTTCTGCACTCTCTCACATAGTTTTTTTTTTTGGAGACAACTTGCCATCTGCTTGTTTTCTTTGGCTGGATTGCTTGCGTGTGCATGTGTGTGTTTGTGTACACACTTTTGTTTGCCAGAATATCCTTGGGAGAACCAAAGAAACAAACCTTTAAATTTTCTGCTGCAGAAAGATAGTGATGCACTGAATAAACATTAGACGTCCATTTTTACAGTGCATATGAAAGTATTCATGTTCCTTGACATTGTTCACATTTCATCAAGTTACAACCACAAAAATCATTACATTTTAAAAGGACTTTCTGTGATTGACCAATACAAAATAGTGTATAACTGTGAAGAGGAAGGAAAATTATAAGCAGTTTACTGAATTTATGCAAGCATATGGAGTAAAATAAGACTTCAACCTACATGCAACCCATTTTGTGTAATGGTAAACTAAAACTACACAACCCATCCTTATGGTTAAATATGATGGTGGCAGCATCATGCTGTGGGGATGGTTTTATTCAGCAGTAACAGGGAACCTGGTTGGAGCTAGTGGGGAAATTTGAATAGAGCAAAAATCTGGATAATCCTGCTAAGAGGTAGCAGAAAACTTAAGATGGAGCGAAATTTAACTTTGAAGAAGGACAACCCTAAACACAAAATAAAACAATTTGTGTTATGAATCTACTCTCAGAACTAATTCCAATAGAGAATTCAGAACAAGGATGAAACTTGATGTTCACATTCTTTCCATACAGACTTTCTTTTCATCCAAAAGAAAATAAAAAAAAGTGTCATTTTAAAATTTCCAATTCACACTTATGTCCTATTTTCTGATGGTTGAAAATATCACTGACACTGATTCTGACATGAAATCTTTCTATATTTTGAGAAGTAAAATGCTTAAAATCCTACCAGAGTGTGACATTTAATTGCTTCATTCCTGACGCAAACATGCACACAGATGAATGTGCTCACCTTGAACAAACAGCTCTGCCGTCCTTCTATCAATGAGCTGCAAATCACAAGCAACTTGTCCTTGGTTGCTCCTCTCTGTGTGTCTCAGGATAAACTCCCAGCAATCTGCACTTGATTCGGAGCATTTTACAGCTGTCACGTTCGGGTTGACAGTGGGCAAAACACCATTCTGCTTGTCGATGGTTAGCACTGGTCTATTTCCTAGCAGCCATGTCATAACAGTCCAAGCAGTGTTGGGGGTGCTGCACCTAAATTTGGCCTCGTCTCCTCCAACAACTATCAGCCTTGCAGGAGTCAGCTTCATCTGTGTTCTGGCAGCTAAAGACATGATCAAGATCATCAGTTGTTTTCTACACATCCTATGTCTGAAACACTTAAAAATATTAAAAGGATGCAAAATTTTTAAAATTATTAACTGATGTCATGCTTTGCATTAAATGGAAAAGTCAGGTATATTATCATTAAGTGACTTCTGTGAAAAACCTGTAACTAATAAAGAAGTTTGTCTGGACCTTACCTTCACCCCACCATGAAAGAACAAGCACTAACAGAGGAAGAATCTCCATATTTAATATGTCAGTCCAGCCAGTCAACTGTTGAATGGCAGAAAAGCCTTTAAAAAGAAAAAAACAGTCATTAATTATATGCACCACACACATATTTATCATCTGCTCTTGTTTTTCTTTGGCGAAGATCATGAGGCATCTGTCTTTTAAATCTTTTGACTATTAGAAAGCTTCTATTTATCAGATTTCCTTATTCTCATTTAGCAATGAGAATAAAGAGAGGCAAATATATTTTACAATAGACCAGGTTGGTTTGGACGGCTATATTTGCGAATAAATAAATTCATCATTTGAGAACTTTCTTTGTATTTATTCAGGTTATATTTGTCTGACATTTAGTTTTCTTTTTATCTGAAACATTTCAAGTGTGACAAAAAAAAAAGAAGAAAAGAAAAACTGCAGAAAACTGTAATGGGGTGTGCAGTTTTGTGTGTATTGTTTTACACCATACCAGCATTTGGGCATAATATCATAGACTGTCTCAACAAAATTTCCAGATTGATGAAATCTGGTGCAAAAATTTGCAGAAGCCCCAGTCCATTCCATAGTATTTAGCTAAGGCATACATCTTTTTCTGAGACAGGAAGCATCGTAAGATTAAGCAGGAAAAAAAAAACATGACAAAATATCTGTCAGACCAGGCCATTGATAGTCCCACCAATAGCTATCAGATTAAATTTTAATCAAGTTTCAATATTATGTTCTTCATAATAATGAAGACAACAATGTTAACAATGTCCATTAAATGTATTTTAATGCTTTTCTTTTTTTTTGCGCTCGTGTTTTGGAGTCAGAGGAGTTATAAAACAACCACCAGACGCTGGCGCCATCAAAAATGCCCTTAAAATGACTCACTGCCTCCTTGACAGCCGTCTTTTTTGCCCAACTTGTTTACATCTGCAGAAAGTGTATTTGCATAATGCCTCTACAGTAGCTGAGTCTGGCACAGTCGCAAACAAACAATGAGCAGCTGCTTCACACTCCACTGTTTATAACTAATCTGTGCCAGCAGGGCTTTCGTGAAAGAAGTCTCAGTGTTCTTATACATGAAAGCAACGTCAGGGACTAGCAGCACCATTACAGACCCTTCAAATTGCTACTCATTTCATCGGTATCTGCTGGAAAACACAACACTCGACTTCCAAGGTCTAGCTCTCATACACCTGTCCACCGTGACTAAATATGGCAGAGAAGAATAGATTCAGCTTAAATATTTTTCAAATTTTTACCAGAAGCTTTTATTTGAACATTTTCGGATTCAAAACCTGTGCTGCATTTAAAAACAAAAACGTTTTACAACATTTTTACAGCATGCATCTTTGTAAATCATACATGGGAAAGGTACTTGCCACTTTGGCAGTGGAAAATGTTTTGCATTTTGAAAATTATGATGACTTCTTTAGGAATTTTGTTTAAGCTTTTTGAAATTGTACCTTTCTGCAGCCAGATTTTTTATGAGTCATTTTGAGATGCTCTCTTTCAGTAGAGATATCCTGCTTTAGGATTAAAAATGCGCTATTAAGAGATTTACTTTGCAGCACACACTGCTTGAGCTTTAAATTTCTTCAACACTTTGTTTAAACCTTCCTTTTGTGTCTGAAGAAAACTGTACGACTGGTGTTTTTGTATAATGCATGAAAATGCGACGGCAATGTGAAACTCCAGGGTAATTTCCATAATCATTATCATAACTCCCAACACCTTGTTTCAGTACATCTGAGGTTACATTTTTACTGCAGAATAAATGTGAAATAAAAATAACATCTGAAGCTCGGCTGATTTAAATACAAAAGGTTAAGAAGTGGGGATTTCTGCAGATTGCATCCATTGGATGTAATGCAAATCTGATGATGCACAGGTTTCATAAAATTTATAAGCTTACCCATTTGGGAGATTGAGTAGAATATAAAAATAACAAAAATGCCTCTTTCTTTTTGCTGTTGAGCTGGACATCAGATTTTTAGATAACCCAAAATGGATGCTCTTCAAGCTCCACATTAGAAAATTTGGTTGCAGGTCTTTCATACTCATGGATCAAATCTTGATTGAACACTCTGAATTGGTTACAAAAACTAAACAATATTTGAATTACAGACACGGTGAACAAGTAACAACAGCTGCAGGTTGATCTAGTTACAACAACCTGCTTTAAATTCAAGTCAGTGCATTACCACAAATTGAAAAATGTGCCATTTAACTGAAACAAAATCATCAAACTCTATCACGGTTCCTTGCTGACAGCTAATTTACATTTTAACAATAAAATGAAAGTATACTGAATAATAATCGTCCATAAACTCTGCTTCTTTTCTTTGTCTTACCTCAGGCTGGTGTTCCTGTGCATAAACACAAAGTGGATGCATATCAACCATGCTGTTTCTTCTTCATACCTGGTGTTCGGTGATCTCATCCAAAACTGTTCTGTTAAACATTACTGAGCTTTGGGAACTTTGTCCCAGGACACACACAAACTCACACACACACAAAGACTGTAAACACAATCCACTGATAGTAGGCTACTTGATTTGTGAGTTGATTTACATGTTTGGGTAAAATGTCTACCAGAGATAAATTTTTCAACTTTGCTATGGTAGGCATTTCTTTGAAGCCCAGAGTTATCAGGGGTTCCATTTAGCACCTAATAAAAAAACATATGGATATTTTTAAATTTGTTCTGTTAGGAATATGTAAATGATATGACTGAGATGATATCTGTACATGTTTTTGTCTAAAGTAGCTTAAAAAACTAAACAAATGTTTAAAAAAATGAAGGCATTTGTAACAGGATGTTTGGGACAATGCTGATGTTGTGGATCATTACAATGCATATTTTTGTGCCTGTTTTTATAGGTATGATTTAATTACAGGGAATATGTTTTATTCATTCACTTATCTTCCATACCACCATTAAGCCTGTGCAGGGACACAGCAGGGGAGCACTTGTCAATCACCAGCGATCAACCTTTTAAAACACAGACAATAACCACAGTCACACACTCACACCGAGGATCAATTTATAATTTTCAATTAACCGGAGTACCTAGAACCCAGAAGGTGGGGCAAACCTGCAAACTAAACACAATGAGACGCAGAATTAAACACTTACGTCTAATACTTTTAAAGCTGTCACGATGTATATATTTTTCATATGACCATTTCTTTTGTGCAATGCTTCATACCATCAGCATTGGTACATCCTGGGAGGGCTTTTTCTGGATTCTAGAGGGATAATATTTGCTCACAGTTTTGCTTTTCCTTAAATATCATCTTCCTTTGCTTTTAACACTGTATCATGCACAATTAGATCACCACATAAACCATATGACACAAAATCCAGACAATGTGCCACTTAAGTATCATAGTTCTCACATAACCTGCATGCTGAACATATGCCCCACCTTTTGTGGAAAAAAGAGCAAGCAAAAGAACGCAGTTGCATTTCAAATTTTGTGTTTGGCTAAAAAATTATCATACCCCTTGATGGCACTCAAAGATCATTAAAATCTCATTTTCAGATGTTCAGTTAAACCTTTAACTGAAAGAAAAGTAATGTACCCAGTCATAAAACAGCAGAACACTGTGAACTCTACGACATTACTCACAATATAGACAAACTTTGAGCCACTTCTTTCAAAAAGGAAAGACTTTAAGTTCCTCAAAATGTCTTTTATATCCTTATGGCCAGACCAACATCAAAGTTGATGTGGTCTGCCCAAATGTGGTAATTTATCATGTTGGTGGGACTCTGAAACAATATTTAATGAAGTGATATAAAAGATTGAAAACCACTTATTGAAGAACTCAAAATAAAACAACATGAAGCTTAACAGTCTAAAATTGTTTATTTTTCTGTTGTTTCCATGTCTTAGTTACACGTTACACTCTTTGTTCAACAAAGTGCATTGATTAGTCAGGAGTATGGGTAGAGAGGTACATGGAAAAATGGTTGGTGGTCTGAATCTTGCAGCATTTGTTCTTCCTTGTGGGGAACATTAAAAGTCTCTTAAAGCACTCAGCTCATCAAAGGAGGAAGTAAGGAACAACGCTGGAATAACACAGCAGAACATTTACGCGAGACAGAGCCAGGAGGTTTTTTTAAAAGGTCACTTTCTTCTAAGGTTAGAAAATTACAATTGCTAAAAGTAAAGCATGAGAAATCTGTTTAAACTGAAGGAATCTGCATTTTATAAACACAGATTTCTGCAAATACCATTCTGCCCTTCTGCAAAATTTCATTATGATTTGTGTTTGTATGCGAAATATAAAAAGAAAGTCAAAATTGTAGTCAAAAGAATAGTTGTATGTGTTGTATGGGTCAGACATATGACTGATGGTTTCCAGGAGAAATCCAGTGCAGAATTGGTAGGTGGAGTTGCTGGCCAACAAGTTTGAGGGGACCGTGGGACAGGCGTCTGGGGTGAGGCAGAGATGGAATAGGTAGCTCCTTCAGGCTGGTAAATAAGACAAACAGATAAAAGAAAAATGAGGTCACACACTTTCCAAAGGTCTGACCATACTGCCACCTCTAAGCCTGGGCCACCCTGTGTGCCCACTCCTCCAGGGCCACTTTTGAAAGCTCACTTAGCAGCTTGTTCTAACAAGGCGTGACAAGGGGCTCGCAGGCATGGAGAGACAGCCAAAGAGAGGAAACACCGGATGTCAGCTTCTCGGCTTTTCCTGCAGCCCAAACATGCAGAGTGGAAGCAGAAGACACGCTTTAAGATTAGGACGATTATCACCACAACCATCATGTTCCCCATTAAGATCATTATACTCTTTGACACTCCCTCAGAGAATAAAAGTATTCTCTGAAATGTTTTTGTTGTGGCCCAATTTGATCTCCCAGCACAGTATGCTCACTGAAGCTGATCACAGATGAAGCCAGTCATAAGAGGCTGTTGCACTTTTTTTTTTTTTTTGGAAGATGTCTTTAAACTCCTAGAAGTACTGAGGCGATATGGAGCAAAGAATTGACTGCACTGAGAGGTAAATGTTAGTTTCTTCTGAGTTTTAATGTAAAATAGTAAAACATGCCACTGCACTGCAGAGACTCATGCGCTGCTGTGGCAGGTTGATTTATAGGTGTAATTTTGCCTTTTTAAAGAACAGGGTCAAAAAAGAAAAACAAACTTCAACAGGATTTGAGGTTTTAATTAATGTGGTTGAAAAAAATGTCAAATAATAACATGAAATGAAAAGCGGATCACTGGCTTGTTAGTCTCAACAATGTTGCACTGCCCTCCAGTGGTGAAATACAGCCTTTAAAACCAATCAGTAAAAGATGGTAAAGTGCCTTACCAGGACAGCAGATGGTCTTCATCTTGACATCACTGTGACTACTCAGCCTCCTCTTCTCCCTGGTAAAAAAACAATCAAATGAAAAAATGGATTTTGGTTTTCAACATGAACATCAATCACGAAAGATGGTAAGAGGTATAAAAATATTTCCCCAAAACAGAAAACATAAGCATATTTTTCAAATAATTTTTTAAATGGTGAATATAATAGGAGATGTAAACATTCCTGGCGTCACAGAATCTGTTATTTATTGTGTATTTTTTCTGCAGCTGATGTAGTCAACCCAATTCTGGGGACATTCTTTGTTTTTATGTGATTTACAAACAACTATACTCAAACTGAGATTGAATAACACTCAGGTGGACTCCACTTACTAGTAAGGTGACGTAGGTAGGTAATTTGTTCACCCTGAATTTTATTTAGGAGTATCAAAATAAGGAAGTTGAATACAAAGTATTCAACCACCACTACATTGTGCTGATCTATCACATAAAATAAAAATAAAGTACATAAAAGTTTGTGGCTATAACGTGACAAGATCTGTAAAGTTCAAGAAGTATGAATGTCAGGTGCCTCATAGCTTAAACAGAAAAAATTATAGTTAATGTATTTTAGATTAAAAATAGCAGCATTGGCTCAGCTTTACAGAAAAGGGATCTACAACTTTATCTTACACAGGCCCTCCACCTACATTCTTAGATCCCATTAAACTAGAAAATATCTCTCGTGATGCTATACCTTTCTCTTAAGACTATTTGCAAAGAATGGAAATTACCAGCAGTACTACCTAGTTTTATTGCAACTCTTTTTCTTCTCCATTTTGAAGAAAAAGAGTTAATAAGAAATATGTGGTGGGGGTTGAGTACAGTTGAAGAGGTTGAAGAGTCAGAGAGTTAAAAATGGTGAAAACGTAATATGAGAAACGTCCAGTGTTTAGCAGTGATGGCAGGGTGAAGGGAGAAAACACTTTTCAGTGTTACTGACAGGGATTCAACTTCAAAAACAGTTCTAATCAAAAGGAAAGGCTGTAAGCCAATTGTTAAACAGTGAATTGTCCATTGTGAAATTTTTCCTCTGTTGTCCTCCATGTATTGTGCAGTAACACTATGTGCTCAATCTCCTGTGAAAACTGTCACATTCACTTTGCACTCGCTTTGTTTGGAGCGCTCTTGGCAAAGAGAAGAAGAGGTTGTGACTTCTTCCGAAAGCGAAAATCCTGCAAAGTCTGTGCACCCTACCAAAAAACCCTCATATCTGAGTTGTTCTGTCTTGCCCTCAGGCAGATGCAAAGGACATTTTAAAAAATGCCAAAGTTGTTCATAAAAACAAGAACATCCTGGCAGACTAGAAGAAAGTGTCTCTGTAGATGTTTTACAGGTCTGTGCATCACTAAGCAAGTATTGTGTTGTGTCATCCCTGAAATACTGCACATGAATAAGAACCTGCTACAACACTCCCCATTTGTGCATTGTGTACAAATGTGTGGCATGACATACACATGACTTGAGGGAAAAAACAATAGTTTTAGTTTTGTTTGTGATCGGATCGTGCAGAAAACTCCCAATCTCAAGTATGATTCACACCGTGCCAAGCAGGGAGAAAAATAATCCAAACATATACCTCTTGTAATTCTGTACCTTCTTCTTCTTCCTACAGAAGATGAAATCAAGAGGAATCACGTTTTAAAATATCACTAAGCAGTGAAATATTGGTCCATGTAGTATTGCTGTTTCCATCAAAACACCACTTCCGCCTTAGGAATTAAGACAAATACATGAATCATGCTGCAAACCATTAGACACTTCCATGGGAAACTATGATAAAAGTATCATGCAGCACACAAATACAAAAAAGAAAGACAAAAGGAAGAAACACTAAGGTTTTCAGAGGCTAAAAGGTGTGACGCCACAAACCACACCAAGTCTACCTCACTGCCTTGTTCATCCTGCTGGGAAGGTGGGAGAAAGAGACAGAAAGGAAGGAGCAGAGAATGCAAAGCAGTGAAACGATGGAAGCTCAGACGGGAATGTCGAAGAAGAGCAAAGCATTTTCCACCTGTCATTTTGAACGATGAAATCTGTATATTCTGAATCATTGTTCAGCAACATTG